ATTTTGTGTTGCGTGCCATGACTTTGAAGCCACAAATCAGATTTTGAAATGGCTGGTGCAAGGCTGGGAGACACATGAAGCTGAGAGGATTAGGACGTCATAATTGTTGTGTCTGAAAGACAGAGGAGGTGAAAATGTATTGGGAAGGACCGAAAAAGGACAACGAAGGCAGCAACAAAAGGGACAGGTAGATGGGACAATGGAACAGAGAGCTGAGAGAAAAGACTAATGCTACTTAGAAATGGAAAATGGAAATCAGGAGGACTTTTAGTCCGGGAAAGTAGAGACTGAGGAAAGGGATGTGAAGAGGGAGCCAGCAGGGAACAGTAAATTAATTAAAGGAGAAGAACAGGGAGTTCGGAGAGAGGGGAGTGACCATCTGAAGAATGAAGTGAGAGGAGGTGAGATCAGAACTAGGATTCTGTACGGAAAGAAGGGGATGAGATGATGGGAAGCAGGTAGTGATCAGACAAAAAAGGATGAGAGTGAAACAGCTGGGGTGAGGTAAAAATGAGCCTGAACAGAAAAAGGAGCTGTGCTTGGTAGGGTGAGTACAGTGTTACAAAGCCAGAATGAAGCCCAATATTGTCCTGTGACTTACTGACTTCCTTCCAAATGTCTCCTCCTGAGTAACACCTCTGCTTAGAGGCTGGTAATCAGCACTGTCAGATCACTCTACCCTCTCAAAAAAATAGGTCTCGAGAGCTAAAGGATCTGAACTGGTGATGCAGCATGGTGTCCTGTTATAAATGCTGGAGGGAAACTGATTTCGTCTTCTGTTAGTTAATGTTACCTATGTCAGAGAAAGTTATTCATTCAGTGCTTAGGAATTTAGGCAAAAGACACAATATTAATTTGCGCTATGTGCCCATACTGAATTTTCTTTGTGTTATAGCTCCACAAAAACACATGCTTTGTGTCCATTAAAAGGATGAATCAAAAATTATGGTGAATTATGCTGCCTGTATGATCTCTTCTTCATTTGCTTTAGAAGATTAAGATAAAATGTTGTTGAGGGTGGGGATTAAAAAATGAAGACCATTCCATGAAGGCAGCTGAACTCTGCTGTGGAAAACATTTTTCTTCCTGTTTCTTCCCCTAAAAGCCTTGCAAATGGATAATAATTATATAGCAGATTTTCTGGGCGTTTTGGCTTGATCATCCTGATGTGGCAGT